CTGTTCGTGGCAATCTAGGCTCTTTCTCTCATGCTTCTCGGAATTCTTCCAGTCTCTGCCCATCCCCCACCTTGGAAGCCTGTTGCACAGTTTGCAGGGGCTTGGATAGCGACAGCCCCCTCGTGCATACTAGCGCCAGGATTGTGTGCTTCTCGTGTGGCATGCCATTGTGTGTGTCTCCACGGCCATATGCTCGCCCAGGCTGTTGTTAACAGACATTTGGGGTATTTCCAGAATTTAGCTATTTGAGGGAGCCTTCAAGGAATGAGCCTTCTTGGGTGGGTGTATGATTTTATTTCCCTCGCGGAAATACCTAGGAGTGGGGTCACCTTGAGGGCCATTCTTTTTGCACTCTTGGTCTGGTGTGGACAGCCAGCTCCCATGTTGCTTCTCAAGGTGGGCAGGTTAGCTCCTTGTCAGTCCTCCTCTTCTCTGGGAGGTTTGGGCCCTATCCCATCCTCTCTGGGGCCCAACCCTCGCTCTCCAGCTGTCTCGATCTCTGGCCGCGGAACCCAGGCTCCCAGGGTTGTGATCGCGTCTCAAAGCTCTGTGGGTCACTTGCTCTCCACTCTAGTTCATTGCTGTAACTTAAAAAAATCTTTCCTGTATCAGGTACGCTTTCTTGCTTAAGATGCCAGGAATGGGGGCGCCTGGGTGGCTCAGTGGGTTAAGCCTCTGCCTTTGGCTCAGGTCATGATCTCAGGGTCCTGGGATCGAGCCCCGCATTGGGCTCTCTGCTCAGCGGGGAGCCTGCTTCTTCCTCTCTCTCTGCCTGCCTCTGTGCCTACTTGTGGTCTCTGTCTGTCAAATAAATAAATAAAATCTTAAAAAAACAAGATGCCAGGAACGTATTAAAAACATCTTAGGGGGAGGGGACAATTTTTGCCAGCACATCTGTATGTTTGGGGAAGGAGGGTGAATGTTTTTCTGCATCAGACTACCAGAAGACATCTCTTATATAAACCTTACCCTTTGGGGAACAAACCTTTGAAATAAAGAACCGCTGATATTTGCACTTGACACACCAGCATGCAGAAGCTAAAAAGAGTCAAGTAGCTTTTCCAGCGTCTAAAGAAGAGAACACAATGTTGTTGTGATATTTAAACCTTCCCAGGGCTCCTGGAGGGTGTGAGCAAATCTCTTTCCTTCACCTGGGAGTTCTAGGATAGGCACTTCAGAAGGTATCTTGGAGGGTCACAGGAGGATTTGATTTTTTTTTTTAAAGATTTTATTTATTTGAGAGACGGGGGTGGGGGAGGAGAGGGAGAGAGAGATGAAGACTCTATGCTGAGCACAGAGCCCAATACAGGGCTTGATCTCACCGCCTGAGATCATGACCCTGATGTCACGACCTGAGCCCAAATCAAGAGTGGGACGCTCAACACACTGAGCCAGCTACGCACCCCCGGAGGGTCTGATTTCATGACCTTCATGGGATGAAGTGAGTTGGTACTGGTTCATCACTCAGCACGGAGCCTGTCACATAGGAGTTGAATAAACGTTTGGGGGCCGTCGATATTATCCATGACATTGTTACCATTTTCCCTGCCTTTAGAATCCCTCCCCTTCCCCCCGGTATGATTTACAGAGCCATACGCCACTGGCGCCCCAAGCTTCCTCAAACAAGAGGTTCCGGGGGACTGGAATTTCCACAGTGAGAGTGTTGAGGGGTAACAGCTGGGTCTATGGCACGGGGTAATAATGCCACAGGGACTATGAGGGTGGTCTCCGGCACCGGACAGGCCGGGTTCAAATCCTGGCTCTTCTGCGGACCAGCTCTGCCATCTCAGCGTGTGGATTTTCCGCCTTTGTTGTCCGGAAAATGGAGACAATTATGCTACTATTTCATAAGATTTACTGTGGGGCGTCGAGGAGCCTCCCGATAAAAGGCACCTAGAAAAGGGCTCGGCACATAGTAGGCAGGCATTCAATAAACGCTAGTTTGGTTAGTGTGGTTAGTATTGACCACTGTTTGCAAAATATTTCTGGCTTTCTGTCCTCCAGGCACAGGGTGATGTCATCCCTTCGGTTCTCTCGTGGGTGGGCAGAGCCACGCCACTAGTTCTAGCCAAGAAGCCATGAGTGGAACGTCGTATCAGTTCTGGGCCAGAGCATTTCTGTGTTCACGCTGGACCCTCCAGGGGCGCTTTCCCTTGGTCACGATGGCAGAAATCCCAGACGGTGGCCGCTCCATCGACCTGGGTTTCCGAGAGACTATGGTGAGCGTAATCGCCTTATTATTTCAGGCTGCGGAAATGCACCAGCATGATATCGCTTATCCTGACAAATATATCAGCTAGATGAACAGTCGAGGATACAGTACTCAGAGCATTTTAAAGATTTTATTTATTTATTTGACAGACACAGATCACAAGTAGGCAGAGAGGCAGGAAGAGAGAGAGAGGGAAACAGGCACCCTGCTGAGCAGAGAGCCCGATGTGAGGCTCGATCCCAGGACCCTGGGATCATGACCTGAGCCAAAGGCAGAGGCTTTAACCCACTGAGCCACCCAGGCGCCCCTGAACGGTCTTAATGTAACTGGATTCTTGCCATTAATTCAAAGGTTTTAAAAGCCAGAAATTCTGATTTCTATTTGCTGTTCTCCAAATGAAAGAGAAATAGTGTAAGGATTAGTCTTCCTGGTGAGGATCTAAAGAAGTCGCAGGCAGACATAGTTCATTGCACATTTCCGAGGACTTTCTAACCATTGGAGATACCTGGCAATGGAGCCCACCACCTGTGAGGACCGAGTTCCCTTTTCTGGCATTCAGAACGGGTCACGTCAGAACCCACGGCCTGTCCCCCTTTCTTCCCACAACACGTACATTTCCAGCCCTAACAGCTGCTTCGCTCTGCGGTGAGAATCCTGCTGTACCCTTCGGCTCCCCACCCTCCTCCCCCACCACACAAAATCCAGTACCTAGGAAATGCCCAGGCAATGTTTGCAGGAATAAAACTTTCAAAGTAGAGCAGTGGTCTTCCACCTGGCTGCTCATTAGAATCACCTGGGAAGCTTAAGAAAAAAAAACAAAAACAAAACCACCAAGTCTGGGCCACACCCCAGATGAATCAAATCAGAATTTCTGGGGGCTGAGTATATTCGAACTCTCCCCAGGTGACTGGAAAGCACAGCAAAGATCCAGAACCCCAGAACCGCTGAGCTAGAGGCTGTGTGGATCAGTGTCAGGGGTGTTAAAATAATACATTTATGCTATTATTCTTGAATAATGTCTATCTGTGTATCGTATAATGCTTTACAGTTTGGAAAATGCAGTGAACTCTTAGATATTTAGTAAAGACTATCATCTAGTGAGGGACAGAGATACATGCTAATACAGGGACGTTAACAGAGAGAGAGAGAGAGAGAGTGTGTGTGTGTGTGTTTGTGTGTGTGTGTGTGTGTGTGTGTGTGTTTCGGGGATGGAGAGATGCGGAGTCAGGGAAAGTGCTGAGCTCATCATTTGATGCAAGAGCAGCTGAAAGCAAGGCCAGGGTGGCGGAAGGAAGCAGCATCAGAGGGGGCCTGTGTATCATAGGATCCTTCTGTGTCACCCCCGTGACTTGGGGAAGCCCATGTGTAGCAGGGGGCAACACTTGCTAGGTTATGGAGGGAGAGAGTGTCTCTGACTGTGTCAGCTCCCAGGGACGTCCTGGATGCGGTGATGTGTAACCAGAGCAGGGTCTGGTAGCTGTAGCAAGGAGAAGGAACTTCCTGGGGAAGGACCCAGATGGGTTGGGGCTGGGCTGTTGATGGCTGTAATCAGCTCCCAGCGGGCTTTGGTAGGCATCAGAATCAGGAGGTCCCAGCTCCTTGCTTTGGAAAGGAGGCCCTCCTGGATGGAGCCCTTCCTGGGGCTCCAGCTTCCTCTTTTGCCATTTCTGCACCCACACTTTTAGCTCCAGGAGGACCACAGTGCCTGCAGCTGCTTGATGATGCCTCAGGGCCTTTGTCCCTGCTGGAGGCTGCTGCCTTCTCCTCCTGCTTAACTCCTCATCCCCTCTGCCTCACCCAGGGGTCCCCTCATCCCTTCCCTGAGCCCCCGCAGTGTGACTTTCGAACAGCCAGGACACTTCCTCTGCTGTCCTGTCCTCCAGATTGGGGTGGGGGGGGGAGTATGTAATGGACCCAGGTGTCCTGGGCTCCCAGCACTGGGCAGCCTGCCCTCGGGTCAGGGAGGGGTAGTGTGTGTGCCGTGTGAACAGTAAGGCGGGTTTGCGAGAAAGCAGGTGAGCAAGTGAGTGGACGGATGAATGAGTGAGTGATTGAGCGAGCCACAGACGAGATGAATGAGCGAGTGAGTGTGTGGGTGAGTGAGAGAGCAAGGCCGGGGACGAGGACGGATGAATGAGTGAGCGAGCGAGCGCGGGAGTGAATGAGTGTGTGCTTGAGTAAGGGGTGGTGGACGAATGAGTGAAGGAGCGAGCCAGCGAGGGGGTGAGTGAGTGAGCCGGGGTGGGAGGGTGGATAAATGCAAGAATGCGAGTGGGGGAACAAATGAGTGGGTGGGGGATGGGTGCATGAGGGGCGGGGCGAGAGCCTAGGGGAAGGGCTGAGGGCTGCAGGGTGAGGGACGCGGGGGGGCGGGGTGCGGGGGTGGGGAGCGGCCCACGCGGAAGTCCGAGTAAGCTGACAAGGGGGTGAGTGTGACCACCCGCGGCTGAACGAGTGGGCGAGCGGCGCCGGCTGCGAGCCCGCGGCGGGAAGCCGGAGCGCGGGCGGGAGCGCAGGCCAGCCCTCCGGGTGGCCGCGTGGCCGGGGCGGGGCGGGGCGGGGCGTTGAGGGGCCGGACTAGGGGCGTGGCAGGCCTGGGGTGGGCGTGGTGAAGTCAGGCAAGGGGCGTGGCAGTCCCGGAGCGGGTGTGGCGAGGCCGGACAATGGGCGTGGCGAGGGCGTGACTGGGCGGGGCCCGGGCGGGGCGTGCGGGGGGGGGTGGGCGTGGTGAAGCGGGCCCGGGTGCGGAGGAAGTCACGTGGCGCGCGCTCACATGACTGGCGGCGTGATGGACCGGCTGGCGGGGCAGGCAGGCGCGGCGCCAGTCGCGGCGGCAGCTGAGGCGGAGGCTGACGAGGAGGCGGACCCGCCGGCGGCAGGTACGGCTGGCGGTCTCTTGCTATCGCGCCCGGCCCTGGCCCCCCACCCTGTGACCCCGCGGCCCTCGGCTCCTTGGCTGCGCGCTGGCGCCCCGCGCGCCCCTGCCACGCTGCGGAGCGCGCCGCGGGCCCGGGGACCCGAGCACCTGCTCAGGTTTGTCTCGGCCGCGCCTCCCTGTGCAAGCCCCTCGGGGCGGAGGCCTGCCCCCCCGTCCCCCAGTCCCCCCACTCCGCTCCCTGCGGTGCCGCCCAGGCCGGCCGCGTGGGGCGCAGCCCCGGCACTTGGCGGGGCTCGGACAAGAAATTGCGCCGGCCAGGACTTGTGAGTTCCTATTCGCAGCCCGGACATACTTCGCCCTCAGCGCTTCTGCCCCAGGGGATGAGCGTCAGCACAGAAAAGCGTGAGCGAGGCTTAGCTTTTCTAGGATGCTCCGTGTTGAAAAGTTCCCTGCTTTAGTCCTCTAACTGGAGAACAGTTGCAGGGGCGGTGTTGGTTGGAGTTGCTGCTGCTGCTTGGAGCGGGTTGGGATGGGGCACGAGGCTGAGGGACTCCGCCTGGGGAGAGGGTCTGGCGAGGTGTCCCCTGGAAGGCTCCCAGAGTGTTTATTCATTAGGGAGAGAAGGCAGGGGAGTGGCTGGGAAGCTGCGGGAGTTGCTGGTGGACATTGGACTGGGCCCATTGATGTAAAAGCTTGTGGGTGAGTCTGCGTTCGGAATGAAGTCCCCCACCTCCAGAATTGGTTTTTAGTTATTTTTCATTTCATTTGTAGCCGTGTAAGGGGAAGCATGTGATGGCTCTTGCTGTTGTTTAGAACACTGTGTTCTTGAGGTCACACATTTGAACCTGGCGTGGGCAGTCCACCTCACCCGTCCCAGGGCCCCAGCCTGGACCCCTTGGCTGGTCACTCTTGGGAATGGGAGGCTGTCATTGGCTTATTAACGCTGGGATTATGAAACAGTTCCCAGTTGCTGGATGTGGTGGGGCCTCGGGGGTCTCTTCATAGGCATGGGCGCTGTGGCGGACGTGTCCCGTGGGACTCAGCCATTGACTGCCATTTGTGGATGGTACGAGCTCTCAAGCTTGCGCTCCCTGTGACTCGGGGGGAATAACCATGGTAGTTGGCTTTCTTTGGGGCTATGGTGATTTTATTAGGCGTGCTTACCCTGCGGACAGTGCAACACCTGTTTACAGAGTACTGTCCTATAGCCAGGTGAGTCTCCAAGTGGGGTTCATGGACTGTTGGGATATGCTTTTTCCTTTCATTCCATTTAAAACCCTTTGTCCTGGGGCACCTGGGTGGCTCAGTGGGTTAAGCCTCTGCCTTCGGCTCAGGTCATGATCCCAGGGTCCTGGGATCAAGTCCCACATCGGGCTCTCTACTCCACAGGGAGCCTGCTTCCTCCTCTCTCTCTCTCTGCCTCTCTGCCCACTTGTGATCTCTGTCAAATAAATAAAATCTTAAAACAAAACAAAACAAAACCCTTTGTCCTATCAGGCAGGTGAAATGGTGGAACAAATCTTTTCTTTTCTTCTTTTTTTTTTTTTTTTAAAGATTTCAGTCATTTGAGGGAGAGAGAGAACGAGCTGGGTGAGGGGCAGAGGGAGAAGCAGACTCCCCACGGAGCAGGGAGCTGGCTGTGGGGCTCGATCCAAGGACTCCGGGATCATGACCTGAGCTGAAGGCAGACACTTAACCGACTGAGCCACCCAGGCGCCCCAGAACAAACTTTTTTTACACTGGGGTGAATAAAACCCAGAAGCAAGTGACTTGGCCAAAGTGGGCAAGTATTAAGGAGGCATGTCCAGGTGGGAGTCATGGCTGGGGTGGGGGTGGGCTGGGGTGGAGTCAGAAAACCTAGGGTTTGAGGCTGAATCTTGCCCTTAGACCATAAATGTCTATCTCACACTGTAACCAAGGCTCATTTTGATTTGTCGAAGGGTTTGTGCTTACGAGTGTAGAATGGAGTTTCTCTCTGGTATTCCGTCCACATAAGCAGATGATATTGATTGTAGGGACTGTGAGGTCTAGGTCTTTGTAGCGCTTTTGGGATTTTCAGAGAAAATGGTGTTCCCTGGATTTCAGTATTAAATAGTCTTATATTCTAATGCTTTGGAGCTCAATCTGTGAATAGTAACTCCCTAAAAATGTAACTTTCAATTCAACTGTATGTGGACAAATGGGTTTTCTTAAAAAAAAAAAAAAAAAAAGTAGAACAGTAGCCATTAAGTGAAAATCTCACACTGATGGCTAGCACTGTCTTTTTACAAGAGGGGACGTTACTGGTTTGGGATGGATTCTGTCCTGTTTTTATGTTTTATACGTATATGGACTTAGGAAACGTGGATCTCCTCAAGCACATGTGCCCACATTCCCCTAAGTCAGTGTATTAGTTTTCTGCCACTGCTGTAACAAATTACTACCAATGCGGTGGCTTAAACGGCACGAATCTGTCATCTCACAGATCTGGATGGAGGTCAGTAGTCCAGAGTAGGTTTCCCAGGGCTAGTATCAGGTGTGGGCAGGGCTGCGTTCCCCTGGAGGCCCCAGGGGACAATGCATTTTCTGGCCTTTATAGCTTGCACACGCCTCCCAGATTCCTTGGCTGCTGGTCCCCTTTCTACAGCAACCATGGGTCACTTCTTTCTTAGGCTGTCATTTCTCTGGTTTCCCTTTTCTTATTTATTTCTTCCACTTTTGAGGACCCCTGGACGACACTGGGCCCACCTGGATAATCCACACCCTGTGGCTTATTTTAAGGGCAGCTGGCTGGCCACCTGCATTCCATCTGCTGCTACCTTAGTTCCCCTTTACCGTGGAAACGACAGATTCCGTTTCCAGGGCTGAGATTGTGGACCGCTTGGGGGGGGGCATTATTATGCCTCCCACGAGCAGTGGGAGTGGCATCCTTGGTTTGTGGGGTGTGCACATCTTTTGTCTTAGCAGACACCCACCCCTTATCCTCTCGGCGGGTCCTGCCAGTTTGCCCTTGTGACTGTAGTGTGCCGTGTTAAGAACATCACTTCCTCATAACCTCCTGGACGCTACCTGCTATTCTTACAAACTCCTTTCAGACTTATAATCAGAAAGTGTTTCATTTCTGTTTGGACCTGATTTCCTCTAGTATTATTGGGGTTTAGTTTCTTGCCACAGTTTCATCTTGTGCAGCCTCTCTGAACTCACCGTTCGTATCTCCTGCCCATATTCTCAGGAGTGTGTCTTTTCCCTTATTGATTTGTCCCGTGCATTTTTTCATTTTGAACACACGGCCTTTGGGGATTTTGTGTTAAAATTGTTACTATTACAGTGTCCGATGGGAACATCCTGTTCTCTCTGCAGGATGAGATTTAATTTCAGGGCCTGTTGGGAGATTCTAAAGCTCAGCACTTGAGACACAGAATGGCAAGGAATGAATGTGAGAGATGCGTGACTGTGTAATTGGAGTTTTTGAGATTGCCCTGATAAAAAAACACACACACGACTGCTGCGTATCGCGGCCCGGCTTTCTGCAGTCCGATGGACCTAAATTTGTCTTGAGAACACGGGGGAACCAGCTTCACTTCTGTTGGAGTGGCTCACTTGATGGCATTCCATACATTCCATCTGGTTAGGAAGCTCCCAGCCATTTGTCTCCTGGTTTTCTCTGGGGTCACGGCTGAGCTCTGCTCATCATCTGAGCTCCTGCACATGGGCACCCACCTTCTCTGCATGCCTGGCCGATTTCCTTGCTCTCTTGGCCCCGCCACCACCCCTCGCCTGCTTCTTCTCTGGGTGTGCGTTTGTCAGAATTCACTGAGCTGTCACATAACATGTATGCATATGGGTTAAATTATACCTCAGTGTGCTGTTTGCATTCCAGAAAAAAACTCTTCCTGTCCATCCTCCTCGCCATCACTACACACATTTTGATTGTAAGCTCCCAGTAGGCAAAAACTATTATTTTTCTTCACCTCCCAGGATCTAGAGTAAGATCTGCTTTGTAGAAAAGGCTGAGATGTTTGAAAAGAATTTTTATCGGAAGTTTTTTTAAGGATAGTATCGCATTTTCATTTGATAACGGTAGCGTAGAAATACGATTTAAGTTTGCTTTGCTGGCCTTTAAACTCTCTCCTACAGACATACACAATTTGCAAGGTAAAATGTGTCAATTTGAAGAAAGAGGAACTAACGGAATCAGTATTACGTAGAACAGATTTGCCAGAATTTGTGGTTAGCAAGAAAGTGATGTGTTACGGGCGGGGGAATTCTGTTTTGATATTTTTTCCTTCCTAAGAAACAGGCAACACAAAAAGAGATGTTTGCTCGTCCTGCTTGCTGGGGAGAGACTGGAGGGGTGGCCTGGGTGTGAAGTGGGGCCGGCCGGGGGCGCAGGGGGACGCCTGGCCCCCAGAGTATTTGGAGAGCGTGACTCTTGATCCTTTTGCCCTCTGAGGAGCTGCCGTGTTTTCACTCTCTCTGTGTTTTTATTATAGAATCACTCAAAAACCGTAACCAGACTTCAGGGGTAGAAGCTCTTTGTTGAAACAGTCAGGATTGAAATACCCTTTAGCCCAGGGTCCTCAGAATGGCTGAGATGCATGTCCTGTCTGTCGTTTGGCTTACTGGGGACTCTGATGCCACACTTGACGTTTTCTGTTGGCTGGGTTGCTGGAGGGGAGCCTACCGGCTGTTTCTGCCTGTGGAGCAGTGTTTTTGGTGGGGTTTTCGAGGACTCCTGACCCGTTTGGAGGTTGTGTGCTCAGCAGAGGCGAAGGGAAATTATGTGATGCTGGATTAATTCCAGGGAAGCTCGGTACGGACTGGAGAGACTTGTGGGTTAGAAGTCCGTTTATGGGGGCGCCTGGGTGGCTCAGTGGATTAAAGCCTCTGCCTTCGGCTCAGGTCATGATCCCAGGGTCCTGGGATCGAGCCCCGCATCAGGCTGTCTGCTGGGCAGGGAGCCTGCTTCCTCCTCTCTCTCTGCCTGCCTCTCTGCCTACTTGTGATCTCTATCTGTCAAAT